TTATGAAGATGTGCAAATTTTCAGGGTCGCGCTATAATTGGTTGCAGCCAAGACTCGTCTCTCACTTATACTCTTGAAAAGTATGCGACATATGTATAAAATTATTGAGTTGTCAGTTCGAGCTTAATAAGCGAATGTTAGGTCCGAAACAGTGTTTCTTGAAACGACCATGCCTTAAGGTCTTGTGAAGAACGTATCTTACCAATTACTGAGCAAGTAATTTTTAAGTAAAGACCTTGCTTGACGACCAATTGAAACTCTTTGTAAGATTCGCAGCATCACTGTTTAATGCCTGGATTGTGTTTTAATATATCATTAACATCAAATGAAATCGATTTCGTAAGTTTACAGCGGCTTTTCGTATTCTCTTCGTAAGTGGTTTATAAATTCCATATATTTTTCAGTGAAGTTTAAAGACACAACGGCAAATTTTTACCTTTCTGTACATTTTAATTTTGCTGATAATTAACAAATTGCAAATAAGAACGCTTTCAAGATTAGAAAGTAGCGAAAATTCCCTTAAATTTGTGCATGTCACTTACTGATGACAAATGAAATTCTAACACATTTTTGAAATGTTAATAATGATGCAATTAAAGGTTTGCGCAACCATCACACTCCGCGCCATGCATTACCCCGACGGGTGGCAGTAAACCCCGCAAATGCTTAGAGCACATATGTATAAAACAACAAAAATGGTGTCAGTGCGAGAGAGAGAGTCTGACCAAGTCCCTATTCAACCGTTCATTCCGCGACTGCCGCGCCTGTTGGTTCGGTTTCGCTAATGGTCGTGATTACCGTGATTGCAAATCCTCTTTACAAAACGTTTCAACTTGTGGCAAAAGCCATTTCGTAGCATCATAACGGCCAAAACTTTTGAGGTGAGGTCAGCGGCAGCCTCAGCCAGCAGTGGCTGGGCGTAAATTAAATGCAAAAACAAGCTGTGCAAACAAAAACAGAAGCGTGTCGGTACGACGCGCTACGATTTACATGCAACACACACAAAACCCGATTTTTTTTGTTTTATTTAGAAACTTGTAATTTTTCTCGTATCCACACAACTTTTGCTTTCAAAAAATAATGGCGAGAAACAACAAAAACGGCGACCAAGTAACAAAAAAAAAAGGTGCCAGCATAAATCTGCGCACAAAGTGGCTTTGACCGACGACGGGAGCTTCGTGCGACCGCCGCGTTTAAATGTTGAATGGTGTTTTGTGGCACGATAACCGCGTTGAATGGCCCAACCAAAGCGTGCGGTCGACCATCAGTCGCGGATCGGAGTTCACCTTTGGCAATCGCATTCACCTTTTGTTGTGCTGTTGGTGGACAATAATGCATAAAAAGCCATCTCACGCGCATTAGGACAAGCTGTGTGCCCTGTTTTGATTCTTTTTTAATGTGTGTACGTGTGTTTGTATGTTTGTGTGACGATTTGATTGTGAGTGTTAATGCGTTTTAGCGTAATTAGAATGCGACTCGCTGGAAGATATTTTATTATCGCTTCCTCTACCTATGTTTTGTTGTAGCAAGTAACCGGCAACATTGGCATCTGCTAAATCCGCAAACATAACCACAAGGACATTATCTTTCATGGACACGCATTCAATTATATACTCGCTGATAAGTGAATACACAAGAGGAATTTTAAATTTCAACACACCGCCAAAGATTTAATTGAATATAGAATTATGGAACTTCAAAAAGTTTTCATTTATTCTATTATGTTTTCTGGAAATTTCTGCGTATATATTAAAAACGGTTAATGTCTTGAAGTAAATATTATGAGTATTCGCTACCAATCACCTGCCGAAGAACAATTTTTTAAAATATGCAGTGCTTCTTTAATTCTATAAGGAAAGTACTTCGGTCACCAGCCAAAGAGATGTTTTCTAAAAGTTGATGAGGTTTCTAAGGTTTCTCTTGAACTCTACGAAGTAGGTACTTGAGTTGTTCTACCGATTTTAATGCTTGCTTAACTCAAATGAACTCTAACTGTGTATAAGTATATATATTTAACTTTTTAATACTTTCATAAAATGTATTTCAAATCTCTTCGGCGAGAAAATTCAATTTCCTCTTGATACTTTTAAAAAAGTGAGTACAAATTCTACGTCTCATATTACCCTTATTGAAGGACTCACGCAATTATCTTTTTATTTTAAATATAAAGCAGATATCCTGATTCATAACTTAGGAAGCACATCGTAGAGAAATTTATATTTTAACTACCTCGCCAAACCGAATATTTAATCAATAAATATGAAACTTTTGCAGCATGTTGCTACAGAATATATACCCTAACGGTTGTTTGTATCATCGAAAACTAATCGATATAAATATGGAGTTATATATATATACTTGTAAATGATCATGATGAAGATATGAGTTGAAATCCGCTCTCTAGCTAAGCTCTACAATAAAATACAAAGCTTCAATATTATTTAGTACAACGAATTGCTTAAGGGAAGGGCATCTATAGTGTCTTTTTAAAAAAGTGCGCAGGGCCACGTTCCCTAATAAGTTTATTATAAATATCTCCCAAACCATTGAAGCAATATCACCCAAATTTACACAGTACAAATCCTTAAAAACTTCCTGTGACCAACTCCCTATATAACGGTTTTGTTAATAACATAACTTCTTAAAGTGCGATTTATCTATAAATACATGCGCTCGAGATATACAATTTTACATCCGTGATGGTACGAGAGGGTCGTATAGGAGATGGCGTCAAATTTGACAGGAACAACCATAAAGAAGCCGTCGAAAGGTAGTAGGAGGATTGTTCTATTCTGTTTTATAGTCGAACTACCATGGAAGTCTTTAGAAGAGAGATATGGTAGTTGGACTAGAAGAGCATGACATTTACTGTTGTGTCGATACTTTCTCCTCGGACCTTGAAAATTTATGGTGGGGTTACGCAAACTTGAAGGTGAAAATCCATATCTCATAATCTACTCCGCCGATTACAACCAAATTCGGTAAGTAATATTACCTTAACATTTATCATTACAGTGCGAAAATGGGTGAAATCGGACTACCACCACGCCTACTTCCCACAATTTTAAATTCAAACTGATTGTTTTACTTCCCAGTTTACAAATCAAGAACCCATCGATAAATCCGTATAAAACTTTGCACAAATGCTGCCTTTAAAGTGTGCCATCTTGTGACCAAAAATTGTTTAAATCGAAGCAAAACTATTCAAGCCCCCCGATACCGAATATCTGGACCCGGTTCCTAAAGCGAACATTTAATCGCAAATATCGGTCAATCTCTGAGATATATTATAGACATTCTTAGAGAATCGATTTCTCATAAAACTATATTTGCATCATCGCATCAATAATTTCCTCAGCCCCTATATACCTAATAGAAATACTTTCGAACATTCGGTTGACTTTATACCGCATAAATCGGCAAATCTGTGAGTTTTCTTCTTAATTAAATAGAGCGTGTTTTCTAATAATGGTGCATCTTTGTGCCTAAAATGGATAGAATCGGACCTAGATCGCATATAACTAATATTAGGATTTTAAAAATCTCGCTTACTGTATTTCTTATATAAAAGATGGTGTTTGAGTTTCCTTAATGAAACTCAGAGAGCATGTTTTACTGTTAATAATATGTAATAATGCCGGATAAAATCGAACCAATACTACCCCTATCTCTCACATACATACCCAATATAGGATTTTCAAAACTCGGCTAACCGAATATGTATACCGTATACATAAACAACGTATAATATTGGGTTCATTATAGTTTAATTCGGAAAATATGTGAAATCGGTATACGAGTACCCAAACTCCCAAATACTAAATATAATATAATGATTTTCGTCATGCTAACAAGCCTTATGCCGAATATGCTGGACATTGTGTGTCAACAAGCGCAGACTTATTTATACTTTTTGGTTCATCAGAATGTATGATACTTTAATGATATTAAATGAAATGAACAAATTTTCTTAAAAGTTATAAAACTATATTAATAGTTTAGAGCTGAATAAGAATGGTGTTGGTCTAGATCTGGATCTAAACCTCACCTAATGAATATCATTCTCTATTAATATATATAGTATATACCGTTCTTATCAGCTACGCAGCAAACTTGGCGAAAGTTATCAAAATCATAGATGACAACAGAAGAAGACTTGCGAGTGCACAATTTTCCCAAATCTTTTTTGTGGACAGAAGAGAGTTGCAGCTGGCTAAGGGTAATTGTGTGCATACCCTCACTCCCACACAAAATCAAGAGAGGGTGGAAAATATGCCCAGTTATGTATGTATGTACGTACGCCGTCCGGCGATGACGGGTGTAACAATTGGACAAGTGAACGTATTATTATGACGTCTCGAGTGCATAAAGCATGTCAACTCAAAGATTAGCAGACCGTGAGTAATTATGTAAGAAAGTTATTCACACCAATGGGATATGGATTTAGCCAAGCGTAGAAAACTTATTTTGGAAAGTATAAAGTGAAAAGTACGGCCGCGTCGACAACTCTTCCGACTGCGAATGCCTGCTGATGAAATGCTATGCAGTGGGGTTGACACAGAAATCGCGCAGCAAGCGCACGAATTATAAACGAGAGGAGCGATAAGCATGAGGTAGAGTGGCAGAACGGTTGGCTTGAAGAAAAGTTTTAAAAAGCTACCAGAAAGTTTAGACAAATCTTATCGAAAACTTTCAGTGAACTGAATGCGTTGCTGAGAGGAGCCATATATTTATTTTATAGAAGAAATTTTGTGATTTAAATTTTTGTTATTTATTTTGTATAATTATTGGAGTTTCTTTTTAACATATTTGTATATCCACTAATCGATTTCATGCAGTTTTTCAATTATCATACTGCATGCTATTAAAATAAATTAAAAATACTTACCGTTGCAAAGAAAGCAAGATCAGTGGCTTATTTTTCGTGCTTTCACATTAGTTATTTCTCGCCCCGCCTGCCATTTTTCGCAATTTTCCGCCTTTTGCCGAATTAAAACTCATTTTATTTCGCATATATTTCTTATTTATTTATTCTTTTCTCCTTTTAACATTAATTGTATACCTTCTAACTCAGTTTTTTTTTGCTATAATTGTGTTACCTCTCATTTAAATATTTACGCCTAACTGTATATTTTAATTACATTGCAAATAATAAATACAGTGGTACGTTTGCTACTTGTCCTATTAGATGATCTGAGTAATAAATAACATTTAATATTTCATTTACTCCCATTAATTTATACAAAATTATATATAACTGCATTTATCTATAATATAATATGTATGTATGTATATGCTTGCGCACAAGTCACCTTTTACTCTAGCATATAATCCTATTTATATAACATATAATTCTCATTTTATACATGTACATGGCTCGTTAAGCTTAGGAGTTTATATATGTAATTAAAACTAAAGCATTTGTAATGTTAGTCTCATGAATACAAATACATACATAAGTACAATATAAATACAATACAATAGTTCACATTGATATAGTACCATATATGGTATGTATGTATATATAGTAGGAGTACTATATGTTCAAGTAGTATGCATTTACGAATGCTTTCAGTTTTATCTATAACTGTGAAGTAACACACTCAATGACACATATTTATTTACATAATACACGAGCACTGTACGCTCTTAGTTAGTTGTATCTTACAAACAGTTTATACAAACCGTGATTACCCTATAATTTTTTCGTTATCCACATTTTCACACTTTCGATTCTAATTAATATAATGTGAATTGCTTTCAACGCATCCACATATACATACTTTTTACAGTTGTTTCACACATTTTTTAAGCTTAAATTATACTCGTACATATAGAGAAAGTAAAAAATACAGATTTTTGTTTTTACCGTTTCAACGAAATATATATAACACTTAGTGGTTGCGCTTTGAACCACAAAATAAATAGTAAATAAATTAGCTTTTCTACAAACGGCGTAAATTTCGCTGGCATATTGACACACGAACGCCAACGAAGGACGGGCGCTTGGAAGCGGTTGCTATTTACAGTAATATGCTAGGGCTTTAATTGGTATTCCGTATTGTTTGAATGCAATGCCACTATTGCAACAACATTTAGAAATGCATTTTATTGCCTATTCGTTTCACTAACGAAATTAATACTTTCGGTATTTATAAATATTTGTATATGTATCTGGTACAGTCTACACACTCACGCACATATGTAAATGTACAAATATCCATTCACTTTGCTATATACATATCTACACATATTGTTCTATTTACACGATAAACAGTAAAATATTTAAATACATAAATTCAGGATTATTTAAACCAATAACAGCTATGTACTCGCTCGATTTTTACGATATATGCCTAACAACCGTTATTGCGCTCTTAAAAATTGATAAAAAAGCGAAAGCCACTAGATACATATGTGAGTAAATATGTGTGAGTATTTGTGTGATTTGGTTGCAATTTTTGTAATTACAGATGTGACTCCTGAAATGTCCTAAACTTGGTATAGGAATAAGGTTCCTGTTGGCAAAAATAGATTTAACAAAAATATTACAATATTTCACGCAAAATTAAAAGCATATAACTAGTATTTGCTCATGTTTTAGGAAATTCAAATCTCTCTGGGCAGAAAAATTTAATTTTCATGTACATATCTAAACATTCTAGTATAAGCAATACAATTTTTCAATATTTCATAAAAGCTCGAAGGCATATATATTACAACATCGACAAAATATCAAAGGCAATCATTCAATGAGATCCCTAAAAAAGCAAGAATTTAATAAAATAAACAGTTTAAATGAAGGCAATGACAAAGCTTTGCTGCAAATTGAGCGTTTTGTTTTGTTAAAGCGCTTTTCCTTACTTTATTTTCTAATTCAATGTTTTCAATGGAAGGCATGTTGTTTTTTCTTAAAATTCAAGTTATTTCATGCATTCATTATTGCGCAGGGAAAACTAAAAGTAACTGTGGTAAGTTTAACAAGTGCTTATCTTTATACTTTGGATTGAAATCAGTAGTTGCATTTTTGCAATTAAGTGGATATGTTTAGAAATATCTTCTGCATTAAGATAGATATGTTTAGAAATGTGATGGTTTTCAGAAATCTATAAATTTTTGGTCTAATCAAAAATTTCGTTGACTATCTATTGAAAACTTCAAGTAGTTATTAACTTTAATGCTGAGATTTATTTTTTTTAAATTTTTTCGACAATTATATTACAAGTTGAGTATATTAAAAAGGCGAATAATAAAAGCGATAGAAATGCCTTAAATTATTAAACGCTATCCACTTCGTCATTTGAGTGTTTGAAAATTTTACATTTATTCTCTTGAAGCCATATTCGCCTTTTAATAAATAGAGTTATAGTTATTTATTAGAGGATATGAAACCTTTTAACATCCTTCTCTATAAAACCACGCATAAATCTACTTTGTAGAAAGGATGAAAGGGGGAACTTGTCTATCCGCATAAACATGCTTACGAGATTTATCCCACTTTGGTTTTCCTTAAAAATAAGGAATCAACTTATGGGAGTACAGATATGGTCGATATACTTCTAAAACGGGACTCTACCTAGTTCAAATGAAGTAATTTCCACATAGTAGGAGCGTAATTAAATATAGTAATAAAAACAGTTTTTGGAAACAATTTTTTGTGGTGCACTCGTAAGGTTTTATTAATTAGCAGACATTTTCATCGACGTAAGGATAAGCAGAAGTAAAATGAGAGTACAAAATACTGCGTATGTTTAATAAATGTTCGCTTTCTAATTTACTGTACTAAACTGTTGTTTTGTATCGTAGTAACTGATATGTTGAGTTTAGAGGCACTACTACCAAGTAGCAGGGTTCGATCTTACTTTTCAAGTGATATTTCGTCAAAAATCAAATAATTATTTTCTTCTGATAAAACCCTATCTGCATAAAAGTGCGCTTCTAGCATTAATTACAAAAAAAAATTAATTTTTTTCAAAACAGCAATTTTAGGTTAGAAAAGAACAATATACATGTAAAATTTCTTTTTAAACTCCACAAAGAGCAGTTTGAACGATTGTTATTATGTGAATATGCAAATATGATATGTTAGGACTCTTGATAAATGGCTTGGGCAGGTTGAAGAGAGTTGCCTTAAGGTTTCCAGAGCAGCTAAATTGTGTTAGTATTTATGTTTACGTGTAAATGTGAAATGAAAGTGTTTGCAGCTGAAAATATACATATGTGGCAGTTAAAACAGTTACTAAAACAAATGGGTAAACGGGTGTTCACATGTGATATGTACAAATTTCCTATGGAAATAATTGAAAAATGTTTTCCGTCCTCTTCTTTCATTCATTCTGCTATTAAACTATTTGGAATCTTCCAAAGGTATATACGCTAACTTGACTTTTTATACAGCTACATTTATTTCATATAATTATTATTTAATTGAAATGCTTGGCTGCGCAAAATATAGAATGACAGTGCGATTTTCGCTTCATTACAATTAAAATTTGGTTAAAAACAGTAATTAATTAATTATATTCACATACTTATGGCATATATAACTAGGTTGACACACACATACATATATATACAATATATACACATATACATATAAACGGCAATGAACGTGCACACCAGCAACTAAGCAGAGCAGCGCTGACAGGATAATTATAGCCGCGGCGACATTGAACGCACACACAAATCCATATATAGTATTTATATGTACATATATAGTTGAAAATATATAAGCAAATACAGCTTCACTATGGTTTATTATTTTTTTCTATTTGTATTTGTATTTAAAAGCTTTCTCGAATTATTTGTTATTGTTGTTGGTTAAACACAAATTGGCAGTTTGTATTAGCTTAATTGAATATCGGGTTTACAAATGCACAGACACACGTACAAAGTTGTTAGTGGACATATCATAAGCTAATTCTATTTGCCATGCAGAGCTTTTCGAGTTGAGTTCGGCTATACAGGCTATTTGCATATTAATAAATTATGCATGGTTTATTTAGTTTGCTGTAATAGCGATTGATTAACGAAAAGCACTAAACACTTTTCATTGGATGAGCTTTCGACATTTGATGCTTTATAAATATTGGAAGAATGAGTATGACGTTATAAACGCACGTGAATTCTGAAATAATAGCTAGCATTGTTTTTGTAAATCAATTCTTCCGAATTACAGAATTGAGTTGTGTGTCCTTTGTACTTCTCAGTCAATAAAAATCAAATGATGGCTTTTTACATACCTAAACTGTATGCAAGCTTTATCGATCCTTTATTAAAGATATTAGGTTCAGTAAAAATAAATCCATTATTTTTAAAATTGATGGTTTTATAACTCTGTATCTTGCGCTGTATAAGTGAGATATACAATTTTATACCAAAAAGCCCTCTCAGACGATTTTGTGATTGCTTGCTGCAGTATTGCTTGAATGCAAAATTTTAGTTTCAACGAATCCTTTCCGGCAATTTCGACGTCAAGGATGTACCACGATATCGATACAATAATGGAAATCGTCGAGTCCGACCGCCAAACACTTTTCGTTTTTCTAGGAGTTAAACCTTGCACAAAAAAGCGTTTGCTAAATAAGGCTGAATATAAAAAGAACCTCGGTGCCACGAGTTAACGCAAAAATTCTCGTTGAACGAAATTCCATCTGCGAATATCTGCTGAATCGCAACAAACTCCAACCATTTCTGAAGCGAATGATTACTTGTGATGAAAAATGGGTCACATACGACAACGTCAAGTAAAAACGGTCGTGGCAGACCCACGGTGAGCCGGAGCAAATCATGGCCAAGCCAGGACCCTTAAGTCAAGCTAATTAAAAACGATCGTTCCATTTTTTGCCAATAAGGAAGAGAGTTTCTATGAGTTTGACATTATGAAATTACCTTCAAAATCCTAACAAGTTATCGAACTAAACGGTGCATATTTCACCTAATTGGGATAATTCGAACAGTGCTAAATAAATCTACAAATTTAACTAAATCTACAATTTAGTGCAAAGATAATGGATTTATTTTTACTAATGAGCAAAACCTTTCAGAGACAATGTCCCCGCATAAAATCCACCGCAGAGCTTTAAAATAATCGTAAGCTTTATTATTCGAATGTGGGAAAACAGGTCAAGCCGATTTTCTGCTTTTTTTTAAATTTCAAAGAGGTCAATATGAAAAGTGTGCGCGGTTCCAAGATGTTTTTTGTGTAAAAACTGTTAACTGTCCCGTTAAATCAGGCAAATATTTATTGTAAAATAGCGGTATTTATTTTGTCACTTTGTAGATTGCTCATTTGCAGCAACAGCAGCCGCAGTACAAACACAAATAAACAACCTACTGTAAATAATATATGTTATAAATTGATTTTACATATGTACATATGCATGTATGTATGTGTGTGCCAGCATTTGTTACGAATAAAGAAAATAAAATAACCAAAGCTGTGCTCCTACAGAAGCGTATGTTTAAATCACACTTAAAAATTGGACGTCGAAGAACAAATTATTAATTTACGTCAGTCTATTTTAGTCCATCCATCATTATTCATACATATGTATTACTTATATATACACAACATATACACATACACAACATATTTTATTTATACTCAGATGTGTGTTATTTTCGTTTTTATCTATTTATATACAACTTTCCTGTATGCGATTCGATGTGGTTACCACTTCCGGCCGAAATCGATATTCGCTGAGCGAGGAAGTCACCGACGGATTATTTGGACTGAGTAAACTCACTTCCATTGGCTGTGGCTGTGGCGTCGAGTGATATGTTGAGGATAACGATGATGATGCTGTAGTTGTTGTGTTATAAAGTGAGATATTCAGCGGTGGACTACATGTGGTTATACCCTTTTTATTTAATGTTGCATAACTCTGTATTCGCATTTATGATGAGATGGAATGGTGCAATTTCAAGAAAGCGTGTGGTGCATGGATGGGTGACAGGTATGTTGTGAAAAGAAAGAAGAAAAAATGTTGATCTTATTAGAATTGTATGTAATGAGGATTTTATAATTAGACCAGCGGCTCTACATACGCAATTAATTGTTCAACATTTTATTTAAGAATACTCTCGAAAGTGTGCCAATCGCCTCGTGACTTTTCATAACAAAAGCTTTACTGATAATGACCTATATTGTCAGTTGAAGTCCTACGAAATATTCATGGTCTTTTAACAAGCGGCGCTTATCCCCACGAATAATAATTTACTTCCCCCGCACAATGAAAAAAAGTTATATTTTTTTAAATACTCGCGCGGATATCCGATTTTTCTGTTTTAAGCCCTCTGCTGAAACTGCTACATCTACATACTTTGAAATATAGGACTGTGACGAAATATTGGTTCATGGGAAGCCTTTTATTTACATTTGAACGATTATCCTTGCAACTACAAAGAAACTGTAACGCAAAAATGTGTGTCACTTCTCAACGTATTATGTTCTTTGCTTCCATCCAGCGGCAGTCTTGCCTACGCGGAACGAATTTAATCCTACTTACATACAAGTATATCTGCGTACATATGTATACTCTGACATTGTCCTCGTTGGTGGAATTTTTATAATACTTGCAATTGCTTGAGGAAAGCAGGGCTGCTGGGGCGAGGAAATCATGGAGAGGCCCTGAATCCCTGAAGCATTTGTTGATGATGAGCTGTTTGGCGCTACCCTGAATTTGCATGCATGAGAAGTAATTATCGTAATGTATATGTAGGTGTGTGGTATATATCTTTTGTGGTATTGGTTTAGTGTGCATTTTTTATAGTTTGTTATTTGCAGTAATGTTTACACTCATTATTATGCGATGACAATTTTTTAGTTTTCATGTCACTGCACCTACTGCTCTCTGTGTTTTCTTATGCTCGTCATATACTTATGTGGGTAGAAGAAGGCGCGAGTATATACAGGGGCAATAAGCTACATAGTTCGTTTGATAGTAACTAAAGGTTATCGTCTGTTACTCACCAATTGTTTACTTGGCCTAAATGTGTAGTGCAACACTTCGTTGCCAACGCCAATGCCACCAACACTTCCAACACTGCTGTTTCCGACCAATGAGCCCAGACTGGAGATGCCGTCGGCGCTGCTCAGTGTTGAGCTGTTCGTGATGCCGCCAATCACGCTCCCGCTACTCAATGTGCCAGCGCGCTCCGTGTCCGCAAGACTGCTGTAGTCGCGTTGCAGTAAGCGCGCTGAGGGGCTGCGGAATATGGGCGAGGCCACCTGCGACTTCAGTGGACGTTTTTCTGAAATTTAAGTAAACACAGCTTTTTATTGTTGCGCTCATGTATACATATATATTGTACTATATATATATAAATATATATGTTTATAATATTTTGCTTTCTGCCAGGTTGTCAAGGTGCATAAGAACCAGGCAGTCCTTTATGTTGCGTAAAAAACACAAAAATAAAGAAAATCAAAACATAAATAGAAAAAATTGCCGACTGACCTACTTTGCTAGTGCACGCTGAGCTAGGTACTTAGGGCTCTAAAATATTTGTTTAACCTTAAATTAGTGCATTAAAAGTATTGTGCATTAAGTAGAGTAATTGCAACAATGCATTCTTAAAATAAGTATGAAAATGCGCTGTATGTACATGTAGCACATGCGTATCGATGAATATAGTTAACACCGTAATTTTCCAAAAAAAGAAGTTAACCTGATAATTGCTCCAGGGAATAATACATTTTGCACCATTAAAATGGATATTAGAAAACGTGACACAAACAAATTAAGGGAAATAAATTCAGAATAGGCAACTACACTGTAAAAAAATGTCATAACTTTTTCTAAATAATGTCTCTGAGGTAGGTGTATCAGTATAAACCAAAGATATGAAGGTTCAGACTATGTCGACTAATTGGCACCAGCTTACTTGGTAACGGTACTGTAATAATTTTTTTCGCCATGTCACAGAAATTTTTTGACTTAAACTTTACTTTAAATGCCTATTGACAACCTATCGATTGAGCTATTTCTTATAGGTTTAGGTTTCGGGACTGACCACTACGTCGGAGTACACGTTAGACAGTTGAAAACTCGTTTCCGTGTGATGCGTAAAAATTGCTGGCTACAGGTTTTAAGAACCTTACAAATCAACGAAATGTTTTGAGGTTATAATTAATCTGTAGAAGCGGCTCATATTGAATCCTATTGGACGAATTTATTTGCACTAAAGATCTCATAAATGAATGTGTGTGTCCACAAATTAGCTCCAAATATTTTTTTCAGTGTCTCATAAAAATATTAAAATTGAAAACTATTTGTCGTTCGTTCGATGACAAGTGGCGCATTATTTGTATATTAGCATAACAGCATTACACTTACCATATTGATTGGGTATAACATCTGGATCCGTGTCATCACCTTCTAACGCCTCGCCCATCACCAGTGGACTTTGTCGATGATGGCTGGTTGCCGTTGACCGCAATGTGGACGAATCAATGCCAATCAAACCACCCATGACGCCACCTCCACCACCACCGATGACACCGCCGACAGAGGGTGAGGTGCCACCGCCGCCATTGGCACTTTCGCTGATATTCGGCTGTAGTAGACTGTGATGGGCCTGGTGATTGCTTTGCTCATGATTATGCTGCAGATGTTGGTGATGGTGGTTGTTCGGTTGTAATGGATCAAGCTGACAATCGGGGGGTATTGAAAGTTGCGTGTGCTTCGTTGGTTTTAAATTACCATCATTTTGCCTGAAATATAAGTTGGAAGAAAGTGATAAATGTTTGCATATAAATAAACACGTTTAATGTAAACCGCAACGTGATATGAGGCAAATGGTCAATGGTGTACGATAATTTGATAATGGTCACTGGTGATTTTCCGACCTTGTGGAAAAAAAATGGAATAAATTTGCATAAGAAATTTAAATTCAAAATAAATTGAACCAAAGAAATTGATATGTCGCCAGTAAAAAGTGTAAGTAATATCGGAGCTAAGCCGAAAGCTGGACGTTGCGATAGACCATGTACTTTGAAGTTATGAGAGTGTTATCGAATTGAATCTTAATTTTGGTGTATGTACTTTTGACATGAAATATTTAGCATGAAAATCTAAAACTATTTTCGCTATAAATATTTTCAAATTACTTCGTCCATACTCTTAATGAGATTGAAGTACTAAACTGTTTTGATGATGCGGATATTGTCAATAAAGTAGCAAATGTTGGCTCCCAATTGATAAGGTTTTAGTTATCAAAAGCTCATTGCATCATCTGAAACCGAAATGTCGGAAAATTTATTGAGCTATAGTAAAAACTAAATGGATCAGTAAAGCCGTCGGCATGTAAACTTTTTCGGTATGTCTATTTATTAGAGCTTAACAAGGTTTTGTGATCAAAATTTATGAATATAAGAGTAAGCATCTCTGTGACCAGAGAATGTTAGTATATAATAAAAAGAAGGATTATTTTTAATTACAAAAATTATGATTTTTGGGTAATATGCAAATGTAAATCAGTATGCGCATAATTCATTTAAGTACATTTTTTGTGTTTATTTATAGCCTTTTCTCCGTTTCGATCATTGCGTGGTGTATTTCAAAAGAGTCGAAGTTGTATTTTTCGTTGTTTCCTCTTGTGAAAAGCTCAATTGAGTACTTCTTAACATTTGCGCCTTCTCTATTGATTAACATTCTCTGCTGTGACTTTTATTATGGTCATATATACGTAGAATGAAGCTCATTTTCAGAAGTGGTTGAAAAAGTATTATTGATACAACTTATCTAGAGGTCCTGATTGAAAAACAGATTACCTAATAACTTAATCTTTATTAAATTATTTTATAATAATGTTCACGTTGCTTGTATAATATACATTAAGACGTACTGCGTACTGGTAATTGCTGAAATTAAGAGACTCTCTTTAATGCGTTCCGTGCTCTTGGAACTTACCTGTTTGAGAACCGCCTGTATATTGCCGCAAGAGCAATGCAGGATATGGCAAAGAGTAGCGCACAGAAGAGTGTAAGCCCAGCCAGAAAAGGTGAAAGGGGTACCGTTAGGCCATTCGAAGCGCCTGAAATGAAAATAAAAGCAGCATGCATAAATAATAAGGTATATTGGTGCTAAGTATTCAAGATAAATAAATATATTTAATGCCTCCGATATGAAAAAACCTGCAGTATGTGTTGCACACACTTGAATGTGTGGTTTGAGTGTGGTGATAAGCATTTTGTGCAAACACAATAACGATAACTACACTACTTAACTTTGCTGCATGAAAGTTTGCGCATTACAGTCGACCTATTTAGACCATTTACTGCCAGCTGCCTCACGCATTAACACCACACAAAACTTTCTGGTAAATACTTTCGAAAAATCAAAGGTTAACACGATACGACTGAGACACACACACACACACACATTACATACTTTAAATGAGAAATGTGCGGTGTGACGGTTGGAGAGGATAATAATAAAGTGGCGCGCCACAATTTGTGCAACGCGCTGGAACGATATTTTGAAGGAGATATAATTGCACCTTTCGGTGAAAATTGGTGCATATTCATACATTTATAGAAGTTTTGCTCGCATGCATAATGAGTTGCCACCACAATGGTGCTGCGTATATGCATTCGTGGCATGAATGAAACCAATGTGGAATATCTCTGCAATATCAGTAGAAAAACAGAAAAAGGAGCAAACAAACAATTAAATAATCGCAACTTTTCGTATGGAATCGCACTCGCTGTGTAAGGAGTCACACTATATGCATACGCATACACACACATACTTGTACATTCATATACTCGTAGTTTAGTATTTGTTTTCACAGCGAACTGCATTCAGGCCACAGCGGTTCGTTGGCTTGGAACAAAACACAAACAAAACGAAAACAGAATTGAAGAAATAGAACAAACATTTAGCGAGTAACTTTAATCCAATAAAAGAACGAGAACACCGCTGCTTTTATTATACCTTTTTGGTTTGCTATCATGAGCAGAATCTTTAAACTGTTCCAACAGCTAACAGTTTATTACCAAATATGTATGGTATATGCCGCAATAACCAATATATTGAGAGTGAAAATTTTGCTAAACTCAGCAGTAACACCACAATTGAGTGGGTTTTTTGTTAAACCAGTTAGTTTTGGGTAAGGATTCAATGGTTATATGGTGAGTTCTAATTTAATTTGCTGAACAAAAACTATTTTTAGGCAGTCTATGTTGCGAGATAACTGGGTTTCTAATCACTAAAAGTTGCAACAAAATGCATGAAGAATGACAAAAATAACAAAATAATACTTTAAACTCATTGCCACTTAGTTGTACATATATGTCTATGTATAATAGGGTGTAGCGAAAAAAACATTTTTTTTGTTGCTTAGCCTTGGGTAAAATCTGTAGATTATAAAAAAAGAAAATTTAAAAATAAATAATTTTTTTAACATAGAGGCTTTTTTTAGAAGCTACGGAGAGCCCTCTTTCTGACAAATTAAATGTTATCAACTTAAAAAGTTTTTGTGGTCATTATTGGAGTTTTAAAAAAAGTCTTAAACGACAACATGCTTTCCCTAAGCGTTAAAATAAAATTTGAATCAAAAACCGTCAAACTGGGTAATTTTTACATAAATGTGAAGAGTTTAAACCAAAAATAATTATTTCTTGTATAAAAAAAATTTTTACTCGAAATATACTTTAAAAATCTATATGTTAAAATTTTTTTATTGTCCAAAAATTTTTTTTTTTTGTAATCTATAGATTTTACCCTCAGGCTAAGGAAAACAAAATTATTTATCGCTCCACCCTAATGTATATGTTTCTATTCTGCGGTGAAATTTCGTGATCCCACCAGTGTTGTTAGCACATAATATTTTTCAATAACTTAAGGAAACGAAAGTGGCACAGCCACACACACTTTCGCATGCTATTTGCAACAAAGTGTAGAATTGAAAAGAACTTGCGAGAGCAGCACGCAAAGGATAAGCGAAAAGTAGTTGTTGACAACATCTTTGAAAAGGTGTTTAGAAATAGATTGAAACCGAAGTGCAAAAGTTGTAGCAACTGCAAGTGACGTAAAACATAAATAGTAACTTTATGTATGAATAAGAGACGACTTAGTTGAAGAATTATGCTTTTTCTTAACACACAGAGAAACCCGTTGAAGCATTCAGCAGCAAATTTGTAGTTATTTAATTAAATTTCAATAAATTGCTAAGCTATTTACATTTCGAACAAAAAAGGCTTCAGGAACACCCTCGTAAATGCAAGCAATTAGTTTCAGAAAAGAAGAGATTTTTAAAATTCTTTAAAATAATAACGCTCACCAACAGTCACCTATGTTTTTTTTTATAAGTGCTAAGAATATTTAATCAACAGGAATAACTAGGAGTAATATTAAATTCGGTGTTGAAAGAACCACTTTATGTAGCATGAAATAAGTAGTAACTCTAAATGTAGAAATGCGAACGATAAAACTAACAATAAACCAGCAAAATGCATTCCTATATACAAGTATACCCCCGCATTTAGTCTAACAGAATGCGCCGACTGATGGCGGTTCTACGCAGAGTATTCGAACCAATACCTTAATGGTGCATTAGTTTTTTTTCACCAATGCGGAAATATCAATAAAAATTGCGTTACGTAAAACAGCAGGGAAGGATGAGTACTTCAAATACCAATCTATGTGCAAAGCAAAGGGTGACTCCAATGATGAGTGTGATTTTTTTTTGTTTACCTTTCATTGATGACAAATCGTTAGCCGTTTCGTACCTTCTACACTTTTAGAACAATCTACCAATATGGGCCAGCTAAGGTTGCTAATATATTTATCTATAAAAATCTTCTCTGGCCAAGGCAACGGTGTCATTTTAGTCACGCTGGGGGAATTGATCTCGATACCAGTTATATCTCCATTTTCTTTGCGATGCAGCGCTAAACAATCGATGACAAAGGGCGAAACCCTGTAAAATTCATCCGCACGTCTTTTCGTTTCTAGAATGTGAAACGGGTAATGCATTGCGACAAATGCCACCAGCCAGCGGAGCAACTACCGCACTTACTCACAGTTTCTGCTCATGGCGTACGAGTCTCATGAATTTCTATTTTGCAAAGTGTCAAGCGTGAGAGAGAATGAATGAATGAAATCAACATTTCTCAGGTGAATGCATTATTGTTGCAAAGGCACGTTGCACGTAACGCATTATGCTACGACGACGACTACAAAAACAACAATTTAGCATATAACGAACGTTGATGGAAATTTATTTAGATTAGGAAAGTTCTAAACCCGCAAAGTGCAAAAAAGTCTCCCAGCAATCCACCTGCCGGTTTGGCGACACACTTCTTTCTGCTTACATATACACCTACCATGGTTTATCCGAAGTAATACTCAGGTTTGATTTTCGGAATTTGTGCAGTAATTTATTTTCACTTAACGTAGTATTCTATAACACTCAACTAACCTGTAAATTTGGCCACGCCTTTGAAGTTTATGTCGTCAATTATGGTTGGCTCCGAACGTCCCTTGGCATTCATGGCGAATATGATCATTCGATAAGTTGCTGTGGGATCGAGATTTTCGATGAGAAAACTCACTGGCGGATGCTGTGGGAGAGAAAGTAAAGCGCTATTATTGAAAATTTATATGTAATAGTTTTAAAAAAATAAATGAAAATGCCGTATGGTGTCCGACTAGATGCTGGAAACACCTTTGATGCTTGCGTTTAGAAGATTTAATCAACCTCTGGAGAAAATATATAGTCAGCATAGCTTATTCCAAATTAAATGCTCGAATCACCTTAGGGAAGCTAGCTTTATTTAAATTACACATTTAATGCAACGATTTTTGTGCAAAAGTATATTGTTTTAAATGTCATGCACGAATTCATACTTGTACAACAACTTTTTATCACGAATACTTCCAAAATTTTCCACAGACGTTGTAATGCACCCAAGAGTTAGCCTTTATGATATTTTAAGCCAATACTTAAGTACAATTCTTTAAAATAATTCAGGTCATAAGAGTATTGACAACTTGGGCGAGGCGAAACTGTACATTTCGGCTCTTCTACCGAAAAGTTTTCGTGAGCAACAAATTACAAAGCAGCACAAAACTTTGCAGAAAATTTAAACCTAGACGCAGATACAACAACTCAAGTTGACAACTGAATTTCTACAACTAAGGTGAACTCTTTAGCAGCCAGAGGAGCAGTTGAGGTAAAAATTCAAAAGTTAACATTAAAAGTTGTTGTAGGGCTTTATATACTCAAGCTGTGTACGTGTGTGTATGCTGTATGCTTGGTAAGTCCAAGTTAAGTCCACAAAGTGGAAGTGTGTTGAACAAAATATTATTCCTGCCATATAATTTTTTTACAAGTACAGAATAAATAAAAAGTTGCCTTACTTCGCGGAATGTTCGTAAAATTACAGGCATTGCTCTCTTAATTATGATTTTGGTTAGTTATATTTTGTATACATATTTGTAAATATGTATGTATGGTGTATACTATTCTTTTGATTATTGTCGTATTGCGCGCTATTTTCTTTCAATACTTACCGACAAACTTAAATTCCGTGCTAAACGCAAATTATTCAACTCCACTAATTCTAATATGAAGCCTTGAGGTAGCCCACCATCGAAACCCTCCAGACAATCCACTTGCAGTGAATCGGTGGATTGATTTGTTACAGTGCAATTTTGCAATGGAAATGGACGACCTGAAAAGAGTAAAATAAGGTGTTCCTTGTGAGATCTCTTGTGCTGTGAGCGAATGATACGCAGTTGTTATGGTAATCAATAAAATTAATTAATCAGTTAATTGGAATTAAAAAAAGAGCTGTGCGTATATTTAAAAATAAATTATTCGTAATTGCGATAATACAATTTACTCACCTGCAGCTACGATTTGAAAAATGCAGGGATTCTTTTGCTGGCCAATAGAATTTCGCCCCCAGCAAGATATTGTGCCATAATCGAGATCCGTTGCTGGAGTATAGTTCAGTCGTGACATGCCAGTCTAAGACAAAAATGTTCATTTTACAACAAATATATGATTTCTGTATGATAATTGTTTGTTCTTTGTTCTTTGCTCTGAATCTTAAACTTGCTATAATTGGTTAAAATTTCAGATCTGGTTAATTAAATGTTGCTATAACTAGCGAACTGCTATTGGATTCGCTTTTCCACTATTTGTAACTTACGAAAACATATAAATGATTTATGAAGAGACGTAGTGGTCTATCTCAGGCTCACTCACGCTCAATTCAGACGGATTAACAACACTACGCTATATGTTGGAATCTGGGTGCTTGATATTGTTATTAAGTTTTGCAGTAATAAAGCTTTACGAGAACGCGCAGTTGACTTACTGGATTTATTGACGTAAACGAAAGGTTTGACTATGGTTTAAAATGCTTTGATGTTTTCAGATTGTAAAATTTCTTCCAAAAATCTTATCAAATAATTTTATTAGAGTTAAACTCTGTTTCAGCATTCAGCAATAAGAGTAACGATACAAGAAACCGAAGAAGTAGTGAAAAGTGAGCTGTAATTTATTCATTAGTAAACTTTGTGAGGTTTCAGGATTTCTTGTTTATTCGCTTTTAAGGAATGCTAAAGCTATCAATTTGTAGTATTTGACACGCCCAATGTTCATTAGTTACTCAGAGCAACTTGGAGAGAAAGCGAAACACATAAGTGAGATGGTTAACTAACAAAAACAAAAAAATTAAAGCAGTGCGAATCGCAGTCAAGTGAATTAAAAGTGGGGGAGAAATGAAAAGCGACCACGCTCTGGGAATCCAAAACGCTCCACCCAGCTTTCAGCAAGACAAGCAGATCCATGACAAGCCATTGGAGAACAACGAGTCACGAGTGTTTTGTAAGTAGCAATATGTAAGTGTAAGTACAGTATAAATGTGCGATGCTACTGACACCCGCTGAATAGGTCGAGTTCAATAGCGGAGCCTCAATGCGCCCTCATTGCACAGCTGCCGGCACTCTCTCTACTTATTATGTATGTATGTATGTATGTACATATTAATGTGTGGGATAATTACCTCCGTTGAGTGCAGTCGAGCGGGCAATTCTGTTTGTTCGCCGGACGAGTTAAATGTCCATGTAAATGCCTCCGCTGGCGGTGATGAGTCCACTTCACATTTTAGCAGCAATGTTTCGTGCTTTAGGGCGCCCAGCAGCTCTTCATGATCGGTGGCACAAATGGGTGCAACTGCAAGCAAGAAAAAAGTCGCAGACAAATGTTGAAAAAGAAAGTTCGAAAATGAATACACAGTGAAGCATAAAAGCTTATTTATATGTAAAAAAGAGTGAGTTGAATCATGCTTGCGCCCTTAAAGGTTATTGCATGGGATGGGGCGCTGATCTTTTGTTTGCCTAGACAAGCCTTGCAGTGTGAACAGCAAGTAGCAGTCAGCAGAAAAAACTTAAGTGTAAGAAACAAAATTGCTGCTTGCGGATGCCCAACGCTTCGCATAATGAAATGAATGCAGTGCCGCGTGCGAAAGACCCTTGCAACGCGCTTCACCTTCTACTCGGCAGCGTTTGGTGCTTCCTGCACCCTAGAACTCCTTTCCGACTGCAAATGTTCGTGCGCAACCACCCTCCTCCATTTCCCTTAAAAGCTGTTGTTTTTGGCTTTTTTTTTGTACAAGTATGTGAGCCATTGGTTGCTATTTTTTCGCTTACGCTATGCTTTCGCTGTTCTCTCGCTATTCTGTGGGTTTTTTATTTTCATTTCTATTTTTTTGTTTTTTTTGGCGAGTGTAATTAGCCTGAAAGTCGCCGCGTTGGCTTGAAATTGCAATTAAGTATCAAGTCAGCATGTGAAAGGCAACGAGCAGCTGCAACAGCAAAAACAAGCACTACACACACTGCTACAAAATCTTGCTGCAGCAGAACGTGGCAGAGAGGATGGTTCCGCATGCACTGAGCTTTTTTGTTGCTGAAAGAATTCAGCGCAATTTTTCGCTCGGCACTTAATTTTTGTCATTTTTCTCTTCTTTTCTTGCAGTTTGTGGATTTTGTTTATTTATCTTAGCCGCTGTTTTTGCCTTCCGGCGTTGCTGAAAATGCAATTATTTATATACGCAGAATCTGGCGCTGGGTTTTAATTCGCCTTTAAAGTTTCTAAGTACGTTATAAATATTTTAATGCGAATTAAACTTGACGCTTCTGCCGTTTTGAGCGACCAGTGTCTTTTACTGTCTCAGTGCTAGCGAAGCCTCGAAGACCACGAAGAGCAAATACATTTCCAAAACATGAAAATCAAAAGGGATAAATGCTGAACTTCTTGTAAACATACGAGGAGAAAAATGATAGCAGAGTGATAGTAGAGATCCTTAAGATAATTTACGGATCTACATAACTAAAAATATTAGCCATGGAACGCGCCATGAGTCAATTGAAGCCATAACGAGATGTACAGTGATTGCTCCGACTAAGGCCGTATGAAAAATTGGATTAATCGTGCTTTGAATTAGTCCGAGTTAAATTTTATGAAATTATGCCTCTTGACTTAAAGCCTTTGCAGGTGACGAGGATTTTAGCATTAACTAAAGTTTTGTATATCATTTTCATTAAATTAATAATAATCACAAAGTCGTAGTCGGCAAATAAAAACATGGAAACTTTATAGTTATATATGTTTTTTTGTATTTCAGCCTAGCCTATTAATAGATTTTTCACTTTTTAGTCCCGCGTTAAAAAAGCGCCTGTGCTGTTGCTAGATTGCTCTGCAAATCATTGTTAAGTTAGAAGATTAGCGTTCTTCATAAATGTACATACAGAAGTATCTACAAAACATATGGCATATTTGCGAGATTTTTAAAGAATAGTCAAAGTCATCACTGACACCCTGCCGTGAGTTATTTTCGACAATAAACCAAAATGCTTGGCGAAAATCCCTTTTTACATTTATCCGCTCATTCTTAAAGTGTCAGAGTTGCCGCTGTAGCGGCCAGGCACTTGAAAAGCTTCGCCGAAATGCGGCACCTCCCAGTGTCCGCAGTGACGGCTTAACAAATACTGTTCTTACTGTTTTTATTATTATTATATTTTACGTTTTCGTAATCTTATTGAAGTCTTTGACTGGGCATTCTCGCTGTTGTGCCACTTTTCAGTTTTTATATATTTGATTACTTTTGTTTATTCCACTTTATAAGCGAATTAGAAGCCAAAAAGAAATCTCCATGAAAATGAAAAATCTAACTAAAGTTTTATGCTTGATCTGCATTTTGTCTGCGCGCTGCCATTCTTCTTTCTCGCCACTTTTTCTAATATTATCCATAGGATGGGGGCGACAGCGAAGCACTCAGTTGCCTGGTCGTGTGTAGCTGCAATCGAGCGAACGCTTTTAGCTTATTTTCTCACTTTTCAACTGATTTTTTATTGTTTTGATTTTCGTACTAAATGCCTTTTACGAATGCAAAATAGTGCCGCTCAAAGCCGGCAGCTGTTATGCGCGACAAACTTTGAGACGCCTCTATCGCTGTTTTCCTTTGCAGCTTCCCATCTCGCCTCCTTTGAAGTCTCAAACGCGACTTACTACCAGCTATAAGTCGCTAAAAATATTCATTACTCTAAAATGGTCGCCTTGCCTTCTGCCAAAGCGCCTGTCTTTCAACGCCGTGTCTTGATGCTTTCGTTTCGCCGTTCTTGAGTTATTTTCCTTTCAACTTAACTCCACACTGAGACACTCAGACTTTTGCGATGTTTTAACTGTCCGCAGTTACACTTCATTTCAGTTTGCCGACTTCGTCGTAAGTTTTTAGAGATTTGTGTGCATGGATGTACGAGTGTGAATCAGTGGTTCGCCTGTGCGTCTACTGCTTCGTTTATTCATTGCATTATTCGCTTTCATTCATTTTCTTTTCGTGCGCTTTCTTCGGCGGGATTAATCGGGTTGAGGATTTGCATCTGATCCCTAAGGCCATTGCTAGTGCGCCCTTGGACTTTTTTTGGAAAATTTGCATGTCCATATATCCATGTATGGGGCAAGCAAGTAAGTATTCAAGCGCTGGACAACAGAGGCCGAACGAAAAGGTCTACTTTTTTGTTTGTTTTAGGTACAACTACTTTTGAGAACCTTTGAGTTCGCTACAAAGCTTTTTAATGCATAAAAGCGTTCAGAAACTTTTTACTTAAGTGTGTTTAAGTGCCTTCTTAAATTTCGTGTATTACAACTCTTTGGCCAGGTCAATTTAAAATACAGGCGTTAGTTATTGAACAGTTTTAATTTTGAAGTCCTGAATTCGAAACAAATCGAACTCTATTTTGCCCTCGTTCGCTTTAACTTAACAGAATCTTATTTAATATATAATAGATTCCGATTTTAAAGTTAGACCTATAATCTAATTATTTTCCCTCGTTTCGATACTTTATTCGATTCAACGTGGTGCATTTCTTTCGTTGGAGCTGTGTTCGCCACGCTGCACCATGATGTAGACCTTGAGTTAAAAAAATGCTCTTTTCTTTATTCGTCGCTTCCTGATTTTTGGTGCTAGTGTAAACAATTCATCAATTCATCAAAGACCTGCAAAAATTTTAACTGTCTTTGTTTACACACGTGATAGTTTTTCCGCTGCGCTTGGTACAATTATTTGTCGGCACTATTAACGCATTATGTCAACCCTACGTACTCAAACTATGGTAGGGAGAAGCATTCTTTTTTGCGATGAGTCAAACATTTGCGTGCAATATCCTTCTTAGTTCTGAGAAATCCGCCACAGCGCTTAGCAAATTATCATCAACTACTATTATATCGTTAATACGATTTTCTAACGGTAAATGCTTTGTAAATAACGTTATTGATGAGCGTTCGTTAGTCCTGTACAGACTTACATAGCCAAATACCTATTATAAGACATGTCCGTTTGTATGTCCGCTGGTAAGTGTCGACGTGCTCAAAATGTATAAACACATGCGCTCACTCACTCACGCTCACAATAAATCATACATATGTAATAACATCAGAAAGTAATCAGCAATGATGAAATCAAATTGTTTTCACTTGGTACTTACAGCGTATATGTAACGAAACCGGATTACTGGCGCCCCTTCCCTCCGAATTCACAGCCAAACACGTGTAATCACCAGCGGATGCACGTGAGACACTCTGCAGCACGAGTGATTGATCCGAAAGGATAATGCCGGCTGAGATGTTGTGATGCAGTTCCTTGCCCTAAAGTGCAATGATGCATCCATATGAGCCAATGATAAATTGTTATTGTCGTTGTTTTTCGTAGTACGGTAGAGTGGCAAAGAAGCACAGCGTTGCGTAAAAGGATCGGGAAGAGAAAGCAAAGAATATGAGATAAGTGAAAAAACGATTTTAAGTATATTGTACAATATTCTTAAGTCTGTGCGAAGTAAAGTTGAGCAACGATGAACGCATCAGCGCCACTAAGAATGCCGGCAGCAAACAATGAAAATGATATGTGAAGAGCAGAGGGCGTCAGTTAACGAGAATTGCCTGGCGAAAGTGCACATGACCAGCTGAACTTTAAAGCGCAGTAAATTGTGCATTGTATGACTTGTGTGAAGTTTTCGTTAAATTATAAGAAAAAATGCCGAAGAAACTACACCATATGTGGTGCATAGAACATAGAAGATCTATTGGGAGAGCTCAATCATGGTTTTCTTATACAATCAATGTGTAACATTTTATATTTGAAAAAATAACTCCGATTAAAAGTTATTCAGTTTTTATCTAAAAGATTAGGTCGCCAGCTCATTAACTTCTGCTCAGTACCGTTAATAAATGCAAAGTACAATGTGGTTTTTTTCAAAAGTCGAAAAGGATTTGCTCGTTAACCCTCACCAATTTCAAACTCTTGATGGAAAAAACAAGCAAAATATAAAACACCTACTTTAAAACGCCCTACAAAAGCAGATATAAGTAAGTAACTACAAAATGCTGCAACTAAGCCATTTGAGATCTTTTATTCGGAGATCATGAATATATATAATATATGTAATTATATGAAACCTATTACATGTTAGATTGTGTAAAAAACAACCATAACGCCGCATACCAAAACGAGTTGGAGAGTTGTAATGAAAAACATTGAGCCGTAAAGCCTTCTATGAAAACTGTGAAACCCAATAGCTCACATTTCTCCATGCTTGGCAGACAGTTAGACATGAATGTTGCCAGCGTGATGGCTATACTTGTAGTACAACACGACAGCTATATATGAGTAAATACATAGCTTCATAGTTTTTGCATGCTTTCTTCTATGACATTTGTTACACTCACTATGTGTGGCGCACATTCCATTTAAGTGGTTGTATAATTTAATGCACCTTAGCAGTTGGAAGAGCGGATAGAAATCTTGTTTCAAATTAAGTTCAATATTCATATGCTATTTAGTATGTCTGAATTTTTGTCTCTACTGGTTTACTTATTTTTGTATTGCACTTACGTTATGAAACCATGACATTTTGTAGGGTTTGGGATTCGATTGTATAACACATTCAAAATAGACGTCATCACCCTCCTTAATATCGTCTGGATTTAATGAAGATCCCATTTTCAGATGAGCCGTTGGTTGATCTGTAAGCAGAAAATAGCACAGTTATTGCTTTGCATTTGGAATGTCTTATTAGACATACATATGCAGCTTTGGAGTTCATTATCATATAAATTAACACGCATACACACATATCAATATATAATAAAATAATATTAAATTTACGCATGATTGGTATTAATCTAATAAGTTTTCTAAATCGTAACATAGTTTCAATCGCCATTTCAGTAATATTGAATTTCATGCGCTAAGCGGCGCTATATTAAAGACAAGGTGAAACGTATATAACAGTGGTCTTGCCATCTCTCTTTCTTGCTTTATTGGAATAGAAATTCGAATATTTTTCATCAAAATTTTCTAGCAATTAGTGAAGCGTATTTATATGTTTAGAGTTGTCAATGCATTTTCGAAGATCATCACAGTTATTTATTTTTCTACACTGAAGAGGGTATATTAACTTTGCCATGAAGTTTGTAAAACCCAGAAGAAAACGTCAGAGACCCTTTCGCTGATTCGATTTAGCCATCTGTTTGTATACAGGCCAACACAGTTTTTGAGATATCGATCTGAAGTAATTCCCTAATTCTCCCCAAGAAGCTGATCATTTATAGGAACCGCCGCTATCCGACTACTATAGCATATAGCTGCCATACAAACTGAACGTTCGGTATCAAGTGCTTGTAAGGAATCTTTTGTATTTTTTTGTTGTGATTATTATAGCTTCGTTTTTTCTTACTATATGCTATGCTCGACACACTATTATATTTATAATTAGTATTTTATGAATGAAAAATGAATTATATGAATGTGTGGGTGATAGTTGTTCCTGAATTTTAATTTATTCATATTTGCACATAACATAATCAATAAAATTAAATAAAAAGACTGACTGCCTTCTCGCATTTTTTAAAGCTTCGCAAACCAAAGGCACACAAATTCGCTCTGGTGGACAGTTGTAAAAAATAATCACTAAAAATAACAAAAATAACCAAATCAAAGCGAAATTACCATTGAAGAGAAAACAAAGTAACCGCAACGACGTTGTTGGTAATTACGCCTATTGCTATTGTGCGTGTATATGTGCATAAGTGTTTTTGTATATAATCTGCATACAAAATTAGGTATCTCTCAACAGAGGTGATATTAAAGTAAATGGTCGGCGGTCGACAGTAAAAATATTTATGTGTGCAAAAGGCATCGTAACAAAATGTACTTGCGAGTTAGATAGAATGGGCTCAAATATAAAGAATCGTTAAGCCGGCCCATTTACAGAGTTTTTGTGGTGGTGTAGCTTTGCTCGATGAAAGCATCGATGTCTGTCACCGTTAAACATTTCACATCGACAATATTGTTGTGGTTGCCTTTGAGTTCTACTGCAAAAACTACGAGTAAATATTTTGTAACAACAACATTGTATATATATGTATATTTGTATGTATGTATATGCCTACAATATGTTTTGAACAATATCCCTACGCAGTAAAATATCCTTTTCAGAATTCCCTCCCACTGCCTTGCACAGCTCAACATGCCCACCACCGAGCAATGCAAATGGGTAATTTATTTTTATTACAAACTTGGCCAATTTCATTTCTAATCACAACCCATGGCAGACCACGAACGCAAATAACAATTGGGGAACGAATATGTTCGGGTGAAACCAAAGTTTTCATACCAAGCGTATATTGCATGAATGGAATTTGTTTCGATAAAAACCAGTTTCAAAATTGTAAAAAGCTTTTTGTGTATTATGGGGAAAAACACACTTGGCTCTCTCTCACTCTCGTTTGCCATCCTGATTATTCATAAATGCGTATCTATATCTAACATAATTGTGTGGGCGTCATCCATGCAGTTATAATACCCTCTTTAGCTGATTTCACTGGGGTATAACGAAATTCGAGGCAAAGTAACAAAAGCACAGCGAGCTACAAAAAGCTTCGAGCATTTACACAGCTTCGCAATTGAATTACATTGAATGTAAGTGTCAAAGGGCATTCCCAACATCGGGCATTTAGTTTTTAGTGTTTGTATTGTTGTATATTTACGGTTATTTGTGTGTGGTTCGGGCATATTTATGGGTATGAGTTGAGCATTTGAATTAGCTCTACTTCTAAACGCTGCGAAACGAGCAACCAAACTTTTCAAACATTCCATTGTCCATCCCTTGCCCGGCACCCCACAGCCAATGCGCACTTCCATAGCATTTGCATATGTATGCGCACCAGCATTTAATAATGCGCTGTGATGGTTATTGATCACTGTTGGTGGCCAAACGCAAGCACATATTTTCGTAATTCCACCATAATTACCCACCACACTTTGTTAAAATTATTCAATTTACATATACACAATTATATTTAAATACTGCGCATTCTGTTCTCAAGCAAACTTACACACAAAAAGCGTGAAATAATTGCATTTCATTACTTACAGTGCACAACCATCCGCCACTTGTCCTCTATGGAGCTGTTTTCGATGAATTGATTTTCGGCACGACACGTCAAATACTTGCCATCGTCCTCGCGGGTGGGCGTGAATGTCAATATACTTAGAGATTGATTGTCGGGTTCATTAAACTGTTGTGGTCGAGTTAAGCAGTTTGTCGCAGCATTGCCAGGAACAGCAGTAAATGTGGAATTAAAAGTAGAAAAATTATAATTTTACTGCAAAAGTTCTGAGCGGTCCAAAATATTAGTTTATTGGTACAATTACCATATGTTCTGGTTTATATAATATGAATATTTTATTTAAATTTTAAGTAAAATGTAAACTTTTAAAATAAGATATCCGGGTATTTTGTTCAACTAGGGTCTCGTGTTAAGGGTAAATTTCTATTGTAGCAATGTTATTTAAAATAATATTGCGCAAAGAGTAAAATACATCGGTTTCTAATGCAAAATTGTCACATACAAATGCAATCTTTATATACATCTGTATGTATTATATTAGGTATAATAAAAGCTTGTTTCTACCACAGATCACGATACTTATATGAGTTCAATCGAAATAAAATAGTTGTATTCTTTGCTTTTATTAGGTTTTGAAAAATGTCTCCACATGCAGTAGAGCAAGTACACAGTGCGTATGAGTGACTTTATTTTAGAAAGCAAACTATACAAGGAAGTAAAAACATAATGTAATTTTCATTTACTCATTTAAATGATACAATGATACCCAGGCAAGGATACTACTTCCGTGGTATATACTAATATATAATAAATTGTGTTTGTTTAGACATATGGTTTGCAAGGAGGAATAAATGCATATTATTTAATATCATGGACAAGATTGTAGCTTTATTACAAAGATGAGGGCTTGCCATTATCCCATTGAAATACACACGTCTAAAAAACCACCCGTTATTTGTGGACAATTATAAAAATAGGGGTAATATACTTAAGCCTGCTGTGATTGCTATGTTTAAAGCATATTGAGTTAGAAATGAGTTGTTGAGTGTTATACTTACATTTTTGGTGAATTTTTTCAGTTGCTTATTGTTGCGCCACCATGTAATGACCGCAGCTGGCTTTGAACCGGAAGACTTGCATTCAATGTCGTATGTGCGATCAGCAGATACGAAACGATCCTTTGTCATTATGTGCACAGCGACTGGTTTCACTGCAATTGAATAAAGATTTGCAAATAACGATCGCTTATGAGCGTACTAGAATTACAGTTTTAGTGTATTTATGTATAAGTCGTTATCAATCTATTAGCATTAGAACTTACAGATTACCAAACTTTGGTTAAATATTATAGTGAAATGTATTTTTAAGTCACAAATTTAACAAAAATTTTAAAGTAAATTTTATTTTCTTCCATTAAAAAGGGTGCTTGTTTGCACGCTGATAAGTCTGTCCTCGCATATTCGTATGCATGGAGGATGAAATTCATGCTGAAATAGTGATACTTACAATTGACATCCAGTATGACCACTTTGTTGTTCGGCGGCGTCAAATTCGTATTGCTCGCCACACAAACTAATCTCGCATTCAAATGTTGTCGTCCAATATTTGGATATGACAAGTGGTTAACAGTCTTGCCGTCCGGGCGATGCTCGAAAGATTCATCAATCACCGTATTATCTAAATACCATGTTACATTTGGACGTGGACGTCCTGTTGGAAGTGTTGACCAAGCACACACACACACACATATGCACAAGTGATGGAGAAGGGCGTCCACAATAGTTTGTTTTTGTGTTTGTGATTTTGTTTTCGGTTTTCGGTTTTTGTTTTTTATTATTAGTGGCCATGACAGCGACGATGGCAACAACCGAAGTGATGGCAGCAGTAAAAGCAACCAGCAACAATGGCAACATCAGTGACAGTGATGTTCCAGTTACGCCAAGTAAAAGCAAGTTAAGCAAAGAGTAAAAAAAAGTTTACATAAAAAGTAATAATAGAGAAGAGTTGAAGGAATACAAAGGCGCGCGGAAAAAATAAAAAGTTTGTGAAAAAATAACGAAAAATAGCGAAAAATGTAGTAAGTTCTCTCCGAAAAAATTGTAAAAATAAATGAATGTGGAAAACAAAGAAACGGGAAAAATCGGTATTGAGAAATATTTTTGCCAGTTCATCATTGTCAGTTAAGTTGCACAGTTGAGTGCGGTGGCCATTAGTTAGTTACATGTTTATTATTGTTGTCATTGTAGTTGTTGTTGTAGTTTATATTCGTTGATGGTCCATTGCAGTTATTCGTTTTATTACGGGATTTTTATTTTCGGTTTTCGTTTTTCGTTTTCATAGCCAAGAGTTTTTTCATTCATTTAAAACAGCACGAAATGGATTTTTGCCATGAAGATGACATAAATTGTAACGGAGAGTACGTTGTTGTCACACACGGTCCCATATGCATCGGTATTGGTAGTAATGGGAGTGGTGTATTGGTTTAGTGGCGATGGTTGTGGTGGTTGGGATGACAGCATTATCAAATGTGACAGCATTAAGCGTTGTTGTTTTTATAACGGAAATGATAGAAAGCAGAGATGGTTTACATTAGTATTTCGATCTTTCTATAAGACATGCTTCAGAGTTTAGTATTTAAACTCAGAATAATTCTACTTATACGAAGTAGCGATTAAAACAAAACAACAATTTATTCAAACTTAAAAAGGAAATTTGAAAGAGCTTTCAATTCAAATTTATTTAATATTTTCTACTTATTAAAATCAATTGTTAATTTTAAGCCCATTTTACCTAATTTTAATTAAGACTCTCATTAGCAAAATTATATACAGATTAACAAGTTTTTAAGTAAATAATGAAGTGTGATATAAGTATTCTTACCGCCTGTCACTTCACAAGCTAACACTATATCCGTTCCTTCGTTAAACGATTCCACATTGCTGGCTTTATCGTGTCTGTTAGGTCCATAAATGACTGGACGATCCGGTGGCACTAAAAAAAGACAGATAGTGGGGTAATTATAGTACATTTCAAAAAATATAATTATTAAAAAACTCGTCTGTTGCAGATATAGCTTCCCCTATAGTTTCTAATTAATACTGCTTGCCCAAATAAGACACCGGTGGTAAAATCTGCACACATGCAATAAATTACGTCACAGCGATTCTCCAACGCTGCACCAACTGACCTTACAGGAAGTGGCTTCAGAAATTTGAAAGTGATTATATTGCTACTGCTTGGATATTAGAATGAATGAGCGCACACAATTGCCTCAATGTACAATTTCACTGATAATGTATAGCAATGCGCTATAAAAGCCTACAAATTATCGTGACCAAGCCTTTATAGTCTCAAGCCATGCCTCTTCTTAATGAAGTACTAAACAATGCCTTCTGTCTGCAGTTACTATAAATGGATTTCGGTAAGTGTATACAAACAATTCTAAATGACTATCGCACTGCTTTTAATACAATTGCCTTCAAAAGAATAAATGTGACTACAGATCTGTGCAAAGACAACTATTTTATGAATGTGTTGTTTGGAAAATTGCTCAGTTTCCTAAATAACTGTTTACAATGCACATATCAGCAAAGCCAAAAGTATATACCTCTATACATTTGCTTTGTGGCTTATCACTTGCAACACAACTGAAATTCACACGTTTGTATACTTACGAGTATACTTGCAAACGAACATGATTACTATCGCACATAGTCGCTTAAACCGCTTTATATAATATGTACTTGGAAAATGTTTTTGAGAATGTTAGTTGTTCTGAATCGCAAGCCAATCCTGATTCTCAATGATGTCACAGAATCTGATTTGATTTTCGTCTTTTCGAACATACGCAATACCAATATTCGAATCAGCTGTTTGCTAACGTGACGAAACTTGCAAATGAACAAATTCAATTCTATGAAAGTTAACAATAGTTCCGCTATTTTAGCTTGGAAGAAGAAAGCTACGAAAAATTTAAAAGTAAGTTATTAAGAGATTACAGTAATTTGATGCACCAGGGGAATTGCATGTGAAATTTGGCTTATGTTTACTTTTATGCTTGTAGACATGCTTTCTTTATAGATTTAAGTAACATTATCGCCTGAATAAACACGGATTTGGGTGTTAAATTACGTTTATTACGATTTCTAAATCCGCTTAAAATATTTGGAAATTTTTCCATAAACTCAATAATTATGACATTTTTTGTTTTATTCTAACATAATGTTTTCCCTTAATAGAATAAAGATTAATTCGTTCGTAATAATAAAATAAAAAAATTTCTTCACATACTTTTCAAATCTGTCTTTTCGGTTGTTTCTGTTAACAAAACCGATAAAATTGATTGCCGTGACACCCAAAACTTTTACAATTTCTGTTTCGAGCATCAAACCAATAATATGTGAATTTATGACCCCAACTCCATTTGGTGTTCGGTTTAAATACTGATGCCGACAACTATCAAACCCTACAACACCTCAGTCTTTAGGTAAGGAAGTGTATGATCATGAGATTTTAACAGAACTTGTAGTCCTCGGAAATGTAACTTTTTGTAATGTATGAAACAGTTAGTAGTAACATTCAGTGCACATTGATATATTCCTATCTGGTAATACTTTAACATTTTCAATTGATCGCATTCTATTTTAGGTTACTGTTAAAAAAACATAACTGCAAAATAGTATAGTTTTAGACAAAGCTTGATATTGAGTTCAATTTAGCATTGTAGGAGCGATAGATCGATAGATATAAGCTTTCTAATAATTCTCTTAGTATTTGAAGCCAGAAATTTAGCAATCTAGAATACTTGCGTAATGTACTGTTTTTATTTTAGCAAGCACAGATATTTTTGTTTGGACCGTAGTCGTCTTTCAAGAATTTAAAGCGTGTAGAGGGTTCTAACTTCTAATTGTACGTAAACACCTGCTTCAAAACTCGAATCTATATAAAATCACGCTAACAAAAAAGTTTGTATTCATTTTTGTATAGTGTTGCCGTTGACATGCCGTATATGGCATGGTATGGATAAAATTTATACCGTTGGAAAGGAAATGACGTGCATAAGTGCACAACGCATGTACGTCAACAGGAACACAGTTAAAAAATGCGTTGGCGTAAATTTAGCGACTACAACAAGTACAAGCGCAGTGGCGCGTTTTCATTGATCGATGTTATTTCTTCTTTGCGCGTCATACTTAATACAGTCGTATACAAAAGTACATTTCGTTGCCGTTTTTTTTTATAAGTGGCAAATACATATATCGCATAATTGTGTATCGTTTACGGCGGATTTATGGTTGCGATTTTTTCCACTTTTAAATGCGTTTTTTGCGTGTTGCAACACTGAAATCGGCTAAATTACATTTTTAACGCACACTAAATTGAGCGTCGGAGCGGAAAGACCTTTGATATCTTTCGTTTTATTTTGTTGAGTTTGAAATTTTTAGATTAACTTCAAGTGCAGTGGGTTAGTTAGTTGATTGAAAACCCTTTTTCCAAGGTCAATTTTATGTAGTTGATTGAATCGACAATTTATTAATTTCTTCAACAAAATTTAAAAACTGTTAGCATTGTAAATAAATTGCATTTTCTTTTGGTCGAATTTCGACCACTCACGACCCTAGCATACATAACTGTGCTTCAACTATGTGTTCAAACCACAATTTTTGCAATATTAATTCATACAAGATGCATATATTGCAAAGAAATACAGAACAAAAAAAAAATAGGTAAATTCTTTCCTCTACCTCTCTACGCCGTAAGAATTGCGAAGACTTAGTCAACAAAGCCAGTGCATTTGCTGCGAACAAATAGATCCCTGCAAGTGTTTTATGCGACTTTACTATATATTTGTTAATATGTACGCTATGCAACGGAACGTGTTCAATGTCGTGTAGAGCAGCAAATAACAGCAAATAATACGTGACAAATTATGCTTACGAATAGGCGATTACCGTTGCGCAGTGGCAACTTGAACAGGTACAACAACAAAAGCCAACACAATAAATACTATATACGAGCAATTAGTAGGGAAAAAACGTAAGCAACATGTATTCACAACTCGTGCAACATGAGTTGTTGCAGCACTGGCCCATGCATTCAAGCATGCCTATATAAATGTATATATACATATATATGTGTATGTATGTGTATAGCCAGACACCTTAAGACTAAAGTGCAACCAGTTTAGCCGCATTAAAAACCACAACAGATTGCCATTTACGGCTACCCCCGTTCCCTGCTCGATTTTGGCTCGTGACATACGCTATGCGGCGACTAGCGTACAACAAATATACGAAATATATACACAAACATTTGCAATATTTAAAATATTTATAGTTCGGAAAATCATTCCACTGGCGCTACGGGAAACTCCACCGAGTTTTGTACTACACGAGTAATTTCAAGCGACGCCAAAACACGCCATCCAACGCGCACACACATACACACGCCACATGTATAAATAGCGTAGTTAGCGCATTGAACTGGTCAAAAATACAATGTAAACAAAATAACTAAATTGCTGTCACGCAGCATTTTCTGCACATTGAACTTTGCATGTTGTGGCACATTTTTACTTAAGCACCAAATTAATAGCGGCAACATGCAACTGTAAGCCCCAAAAGCTCACGATTACCAGAGCTGAGCGGTGAAGGATTAGGAAGCAAAGCTGGCGTACTCTACTTATAAATACATATTTGCTGATTGCTTAGTGCTTTTTCGAGATTGGTATAAATGTACACTGCACAACAAAATTGTGGAACCAAACTTTAAACTTTAGAAAATATATAATTCACTTCAGGATTTATAGCTATTACTAGCAAAACAATTAAGGTTTTCGTCTAACAAAAACGTATGAATTATGATTTCTGATGTGAGAAGTGCTTCCCTCCGCTTAGCCTAGTATTTTTAAAACAGCACACGTTTGAAAACGGTCTTGAATTATATATGCTTCCAAAGCTATTCCATTTATTGTTTTTTGTTGGTTTGAAAAAGTTCATAAACCACAAGCCCTTACAAGCAGACGAGATAGAGCTTTGTGACCTGTGTCATTCCGACGCCAACCGATATGCCGCGCTTATCTAAAGCAAGTGTCTTAACTTTTACAGCAATTATTCGTTTCGGAAAGAATGTTAAGTAAATATTCGTTTTATTTGTATCATTTTGAGTTTGATACAAATTATATCTGTATATACATATGTATGTATATGTATATTAGGATGGAGCAAAAAAAAAAAAATATTAAATATATATTTTTTTTGCTTAGACTGAGGGTAAAATTTGTAGATTATAGAAAAAAGAAATTTTTTTTTTTAAATGTAGAGGCCCACTCACTTTTAAAGTAAATTTCGAGTTAAAATTTTTATTTCGTAAAAAAATTCTGATAAGTGTTCTACGAAATATGTGCTGTGGAGAGTCCTCTATCTGGCCAATTAAAAGTTATCAACTTAAAAAAAATTTTTGTTGTCATTATTGGAGTTCTAAAAAAAAGTCTTTAACGACAATATGCTTTCCTTAAGCGTCAAAATAAATTTTGAGTCAAAAACCGTCAAATTCGGTAAGTTTTATGTAAATGTGAAAAGTTTAAACCAAAAAAAATATTTAACTCGAAATTTAACTTACATGTTAAAAAAGACCCATATTTTTTTCCAAAAATTTTATTTATTTATAATCTACAAATTTTACCCTCAGTCTTAGCAAAGAACAATTTTTTTCGCTCCACCCTAGTGTACATTGGTTTTATATGTTACAGGCGATAAAAACTATCAATAAGGTAATTTTTCACGAGCATAAGCATCATAATGCTCTATTCTATAAAATTATTTCGCAAAAGCTTTCAACTTAAAATTGAGATATAAAATTTAAAAACGAGGTCAGTTCTGCCCGTTGGCTATTCTTTATGAAAACTTCAGCTGATGATATGGGCGGACAATAAACCGCATGCGCCTTTTGTATGGACATATGTGGGTATAACCTCACTAAATGTGCCTAAAGCACACAGCGCCACATAAATCTCTTAAAAACAACAAACAAGAGGGTGGAGCACTCACAGACAACTTTATTGCCATTCGTGCTACAGCAGTGCTGTCACAAATACGGTCTTGGCGGTGCTTACCAACAGCAATGAAGAGACAATTGCCAGTCAGCCCGCCTATTGCATTGCCTTAATGCTTTATGCCATCACTGCGTCATAATTGCTGTGATTGTTGTTATTGTTACACTTTTGCTTCGCACTGTGCATAAGTACGTACGAAAAATTACATGTTGCATAAACGAACACGTGCATTTGCACCGCGCCTAATGACAATAAAATGAATGTTGCACAAACAGACAAACAGCAGGACAATGTGTGTGCGGAAGTAAAAATGGTGGTATGCATGAAATGCCAGACCCTTTGTTTGCGTTGGAAGAATGAAGCGAGCTTTTTTTGTTTTTTTGTTTTTGGCTGCGGTTGACTATGTGTGGCGGCGAAGAAGAGCGAAAGACAGATAATCGTCCAAATCGATTTGCACATATTCTGTCCATATTCTGGTCGTTAATTCGCCATTTGCGTTCAATATCCATTTGTAGGCGAAGCCCAGAGCTAATCACGCTCACATTTGGCAGACAAATTTGCGTTGCGACTCATAAATTAATATCTGCTGCATTCATTTACATAATCCTCTATTGAATACTTACCAATGACGGTGAGATTGATTTTCAGATTTCGTGTCGGCGAATTGCGAAAATCCACACGACACCGGTAGACGCCTTCGTCCTCGATGCGTACGTTATCGATTTTCAGTTGTGCGGGATGGGACGTGCTGCTGAAGTAGGCGCGTGGTCCGAATGCCAATTCGGAAGACCACAGCCGCGCCTGTCCAAATTGTCGACCACGCACGTCAAAGCTGTTTCAAATATTGAAAATAGTTTGAGTTTTAGCCGAAATACGTTAGACAAAAGTGGGCACTTCTTATGAAGCGTATTTAATATTCTACAAATGCTGCTGTTATTGCTCATAGAACTTACTTATAAATTGGCTCTCCGTCACCCTCCCGAAACCACAGCACCATGTAAACGGCATCGTCCCGTTCCATTGGAGAAATATCACAAGGCAGCATCGCTTGTCGACCCAACACACCTTGCACCGGTGTCAAGGGCACTGAAAAAAGGAGCAGAAATGGAAAACATTAGTTGGAGCTGATGGATGGGTGTATCACGAAACTATTTCGAGATACATATATAGGTTGGCTCTCTTTAGACAAGGAGATACTCATAAATTCCATGTAATATCTTATTTTTGTATTTAGATGTTATTAATAAAATGCAATTGGAGCATATTTTATACAATAGTTGTAATTATTTGATTACAATTTAGTTTGTTGCAAGCAAAAACTATCTTCTGCTCACGTTTTATGTTTAATACTCCTTTGTTTTGGCGCAGACACATATGAACTTTATAAATTAAATATTAGTCATTATTTTTTAAGTAAATTAATTTAGATTCACTCAGGTAACATAAATTTAACATAAAACTATATTATGGTAATCGCAGTATTTTTTTATTGTAAAATGTGTGGGACACCAGACCGAGTCCATTTTATGAGTTATAAGACGAATAGGGGTAGAGCGAAACTTTATGTTTTGGTTAGTGAAAATAATTTTTCTCAGTCTAACGATTAGTGTCAGGGTATTGCTTGAGGGTGATGTGCTCATTTCACATAATGCATGATGTTATTGACTTCAAAGCGAAGAATTACGTGGGTGACCATTTCATTACTGGTCACTGCAATTAATTATACTGTACAACACTCTACTTCAAATATAAAATTTTTATATTTTTCGAAGATAAGACTTTGAACTCTCGCTTGAAGGAAAAGTTATTTACACTTTTGAAATAAGAAGAAAATATTTTTAGTATGTTATTTAAATACAACAATTAATAATTATGTTGCAATGGGCACAATTTCGAAATTGCCAAAAATTTGGCGGCTAACTTCGAAAAATGGAGAATTTCTTTTCTTACTTATGTCTGTGTCTCTCGAAAAGAAAATGAAAAGAAAAAAATTGGTTTTATCCAACAAAAAAAAAGTCGTTTATGACGTACAGTATTACTGCTTAATATTATATTATCTTTATATTTTTTTGGTCAAACGCCTTAAACTTTACTGGTGTTTTTAAAATGTGATACTTTTATACAAATTGATTTTTTAAACTTATCTTAAGACACCAGCACAGAGTTGAATGTTTTTATTAACAAATTGTTTTCATGAAATTTTGGAGTTGCAAGTTCATAGCCACGGCCACTGTTTTCAATCAATATACATACAATGCTCGCAGCACACCCTTAGTTGGACTAACATTGCATGACTAATTCGAATTGTAAAATGCGAACAACCAACCTCAAGCAAAATATAGCAATTGGAAGTTTCGGTAAGAGCATGTACTGCGAGAAGTTAGCTGAGCGGTTTGTCTTCGTTGCCGCACCAACAGACTGTTGCAGATATTCCCTCGATAATACATCACAAGTCCATAAAACACAAAATTTGACATGCAACATCTTGAACGGCTCGGAGCGGCAGATAAGCAAACTTGCCAACTAATGAGTAATGTGGCAAGGAGATGCATAGATCCGGGGAAGACTGCGTGCATGAAGGCAGCGCGAACAGCGCTTTAAAAATGTTTTTCTCATTTTTCACCCTCTTCTTCATTTATATTACGAAACCTGACTGCTGCTTTTTGGCTGACAGCCATCAGCTCGCCGTGCTTGTTGGACACAGCCACTCAAAGCAGTGGATGTATGCAATTATCAGTGTGAGGCAGAAGTTGCAAGCATGCAAAATTCAACCAGCAAATGCCAGGCCGCTGCCACTGGCTTTAGGTTGTTTCAGCTGTTGGTCAGTTCACACTCGCACGCTCGCAAGACAACTCATACACATGTATAGTAAGTGTTTATATGTGTGAATGTGTGTTGGCGTGTAGCTACGATTTCATTTCGACGCTGGCCAACAGTGGCATTTAAGTGGAAGAAGATGAGTAAATTAAGATAAATTACTACTTTTGCACTGACAGCCGTGGCGTTTCTTCGCGGTTCCTGCCCCTTGCTCCATTAGTTTCACCACTACACGCGTGCGTGCCAGCAAACCCCATCACAAGCTATAACAATGAGATTAGTTGCTGAAAAATGTTCCAAATTGATTGGCGCTTACGACCGAGGCTACTGCGCACAAACACCTCTGTCAGCAGTCCAACATTCACATACATACATACATGTGTGAATCTAACTAACGGTGGTTTCGCAACTTATTGCACCGCCCAACGAGCTGTAGAAGTGATTAAGTTAAAAACAATGAAGTGAATTATGTTGACGTTCGTGGAATTGCAGTTGATCAAATTAGCTCGTTTCGGTTTGGCGTTGGGGAAAATGATAGTTTATCTTCACAAAAGAAACTGCGAAAGTTGCCAATAATCTGCTGATTTTATTTTTGTGTTCGGCAATTTTTCAGCAGATGCAAAATGGGTTAAAAAAAAGTTTAACGGTAGTTGGCTTGAGATGATGTAGGCAAAAGCGCTGGTATTTTCGAGTCAGTTTATGGAAACGAGAAGAGCGTTTCTGTGTAGCCTAAGTCCACAAGATGTCGCTGAAGGCAAAATAATACGAAAAGTAGTATGCATGATACCATATATATATATATCTCCGTTTTCAAAAGTACATAGTGGCGAAGAAAATTTTTACGTCTCGATCTTTTCGAATAAAGAAATTAGATTTCGCAAGGCGGTTTGTATGTATATTGTTTAATTAGTTTTAAAAGTGGTCGTGACCTTGTCTTCTACTAATTTCAGGGTTGCAAATAATGCATAAAAAAACTGAATTAACATTTGAATAAAATTTTTTTTCATATTTTCTAATCCTACATACCGGGTACAAAAAAAAAATGTATACCCCAAACCGGATTAAAAATTTGAAATAAGCTACCAGATTGAGAAAAAAATTTAATCCCAAGTATATAATTAAGAATAAAAGTAATATTTTTCCGAGTTTGGGTACTTCATTCAAATTAAGAGATATAATTCTAAATTTTTCCAAACAACTTGGATTTAGATTTTTTAATGTTTAATCCCAACATCAGGATTAAAAAATGAAAATCTTACTTTTAATCGAATTGTTGAAACCAAAATTCGCAACTTACAAATTCGTTATTTACAGGAACTTGATTTTCTCCTATCAGTTTTCGTGGCAGCTATCTCCTATAGCATAAAATTCCAGCAATATATTTATATATATGTTACTTATATATTATAGTTTCTCCGACCTTTACTTCTGTGTCGTACAAACTTCGTAGCAAACTGAATAAATCCTGCTCAGAATGTACCACAAATATTGAGAAAGCGAAAGCAGCTCTCTAAATTGTAGCACAACCAGAATTGTTTATGTAATTATTTGAGCAATCTGTCTACACTTTCAGCAGAAATTAAATTACTTTTGATCAAATTTTCATCGATACATACATAATTCATGTGTATAACTTAAAAGCCAATGATACAGTTAGTTGAGCACGGCAAGTGGGTAGTGGGGAGAGATGCTTGCAGAATGCTTTCAAATAAGCTGTATTCGACAACAGCCGTAATACATTAAGACCATATATACATAAATACGTCAACACATATGTAGATGCATGTGCGAGCAGCTGTGTGTATGTATGTGCTTTCCACTGTGCTTTGTGTGGTATTGAAAATTGCATTGCGGTCGTAACAATCGAGATATTAATCTGATATACAATCAATAAATGACCCAAAGATATCATCGACCTAACAGCTACAACAACACCAACAACCCCAACAACAAGCGAAAATAACTGCCGAACAGCATGAGCAAGCCGACAAGCGAACAGCCAGCCATCCTTCGTTCATTGCTTGCTGACTCGCCTTCAACACATTGTCACATTTTTGGGTTATTTAAATGGAAAACACATTCGTCTGCACAAATGCTAGAGCATATGCATATATACCGGTATTTTCAAACTGGGTCGTCTTTCTCTGGCATGGCCATACAACCAATTGTGGCAATTGTAATGCTTGTTGCCACTTTGGACTTATTCAAGGTGTAAAATCTTTTTCGTTTTTGTGTAAATTTCTTCGCAAATACTTATGCTTAGACCATACATTCGATTGTTGTGCCACAATACAATAACAACAACAAATAAGTTGAACACTGAATGAAAGGCAGGATTTTGTTTGGCGCCTCAAGGAGTTTTCATGGGTGATAAAATCACATGGGGCATATAAATCAATTTTTATGGTCGCCTGTACTTAGGTTGTGCGCACACATATGCGCGCACACTTGAGCAAAGGAATTACATACGGACACAAGCGAGTGGCCTCGAAGGTATAACAAAGACCGAAAATTTACGCCTAAATAGATGTACTAAAATATAACTTAAACTTTCTGTTGCTATAATGGCAGCCCTTCTTTGTTGCTGTTGTTTCCTTTATCTGACTTACTTATTTTGCGGCTACTACTGTCGTTTTGCAGCTCACATCGCTTCGCCAACTGCTTCCTTGTATCTTTGTGTACATGTTTTGTTATGTGGTTTGTGGCCTTTGTTTGTGCGGCATGAACACTTCTCTGCACTGAGTGAAACTCGAGATAAACTGTCCCAGCAGCTGACACTGGCATTGAACTAACTACAAATAAGCTGCTCTTAATTTGAACCATCGTGAACTGTTTGTTTGACTTAGGGCCTTGTTGGCTTCGTCGTGTTGGAGCAACCCTCAATGCCTGTGCCTTTGTCGTTGTTGGCTGAGGTGTTTAGAATTGTATTAGCGCAGCAGCGATGATTATTGATGGCCACTGCAGTGGATGACGCAACAAAGGCACAAAAGCTGTGCCGTGTCCGCACTCTGTCGGCTCTCTCGCTTGCCACACAATAATGTTAGCCGATTTGTGCCTGGATAAGCGCAAGCTGTCTAATAAACCTAAAATTATGTTGATTGCTGGTTGCGATGATGAAGATGAAAAGAGTAATAGGTGATGGCGATGGCAAAGTGGTGATAGTAATGCTGGCGGTTTTCGGGGAGCTAAGTTGCTTTCTTGTTATTTGGCGATAAACATGAGTAATTGCTGAATTGTGGAGTCACGAATACCTCTGTACATATTTCTTG